TGGGGGTGTGTGGTGGAACTACTCCTTTTTCGTTTTTTTATAGACCAACCCCCCCCCCCCCCCCCCCCATGCCCTGCCATGGCCGCCATGCTCAAACGAGGCGTTGAAGATGCAGAGACACACTAATATAATAAAACGTTGCAGAAGATAGGTACTAGCCGGGACAGACGGAGGGGAGGGTGAGGCGGAAGGAGGGGGGTGCCCTGGGTAGAACCTGGATAAGGTAACCCACGTCGAACCATGTTTACGTGCCTACACTAATATCGCGGTCTCACTGCGCTACTCTAGACTTGAGATAATGTAAAGTTCACCACCACCTCCTCCTTGATACGCTATACGCTGTCGGGACCGTCGCGTCTTTTCTGGAAGTCGAGCGGGACGAGCTAGCACCAGATGGGGGCAAGACACCAGCACGAAAGGTCCGTCTACCTACTATACTATGGAATTCAAGACGCTAGGAGCAACTAGCCATTCTTTCTGTTGAGAACGGCGATAGAACCACCACACCACAGGTACATGATGCAGCGTAGCATATTGCCTCGGTACTCCTCTATCTACTTATCGTCTGTACATACTAGGTAGTATATACCTATAGTACTTCCTGTTAGGTTGTCTCTGGTCTCGTCTCCTCCTGAGGGGCAGCGGCAGAATCAGCAGGAGACGTGTGGGGAGGAGAATGGGGATGAGAGGGGAAACCAATGGTGGTGGACTTCAACCGGGGCATTCTACTATCTACAGAACCTTCGTCCGACCCGACAGGAACATACCTACCTACTTACTCGTACATACAAGATAGGGGATATACTTACGTGTAAGTAGTAGGGGATAGGGGCTTCATGATGTATGTACATGTACAAGCCGCCCTGCCTCGACGTTGGCATCTCGCGCATTGGCACCAAAGCGAAGAGGTGGTAAGGTTGGTATTGTTCATTGCAACCTCGTGTGTGTGCAGAATGGACACCTGTAATGTGCTGTACGTGCATGCGTGCATGTGTAGGTGTGTAGGTATGTGAATACCGGTATGTTTGAATGTAGGCTGCATCGACCTGCACGACACCTCGACATGACAGCACTTGGCACATCATGATCCCTCTTCCTGGGTACTGGCTGGGCATTTCCTCAGGTTGGTTGGTTTGGCTGGAGTTTGGCTGGCTTGGTTGGCCTGAGGCTTCCAAATCATCCAGCCCGTTGGGAAGCCCGTGATTATCGATACCACCCAGCACAACATTGGTGATGCTCTGGCTGTTTTGCCCACCATCCACACCACCCATACCATCCACCAGACAGATAGATGGATAGCAGGTGTACCACGCAGCACATCAAGCATCAAGCGCACCACACACACCGCGCCATACCTCTGGAAACACCACGCATATCGTACCTACAGTAGTGGCCCAACTTACACCGCACCACGAAGTGCCTGTGGTACGATGTCTCGTTGGCTCGCGAGACCCCAAGTCCCGGATGTGGCGCAACCCGCTTTGCTTTCTCCCGGGTACTGTTTTATACTAGGTCGTCTTACTACATATAACTTACATATCGGCACCTACTACTACTAATTATGTGTGTATGTATGTATGCTTAAAGTACATGCTTATAGCATACCTAGTAGGTAGGTGGTGTCTGAATTCCTACATGTAAGTGGTGGGATTGGTTGCCAACACATCGGACCCCAAATCATCGAGAATTGCCCATGACGGGCATCGCATGATGTGCTGCGCTCCGCCTCGACGAATAGGACGTGCAGGTGCAGAATGATTTGCTTCACAGTTTGCTTGTTTCCCTGCCAAGAGCAAGCTCCGTCTTCCCAACCCTAGCCGTTTTCTTCCTTAACTGCCCTCTTGTAAGTAAGGATCGATCGATCGTCATCGAGGCTAGCGGCTAACCAAACATACATACATACATACATACCTACCTACATACCTAGTATCACCACGGGTTCGACCGCAGCGAGATAAACGGTGTGAGATAGGTGCTGGGTGTCCATGTCGTGCCCATGTAGGTATCCCATGTCCGTACTTTATGCGTACATGTACGTCTACACGAGCTTGAAGGGGGACGGGGGAGGGCAGCACATGTGTACATAGTACTGTACTTACAGGTCGACGGCTGGAATAGGCAACTTGTCGCTCAATCTTGCGATGCAACATGGGGTGATAATTGACCAAGTAGGTAGGTAAACCGAGTAGCGGGAGATGATGCGAGAGAAAAGTTCCACAAGCACGAGCGAGCTAACCGTCTATCAAGTATGGCGAGAATCAGTAGCTGGACGTTGGCGCTGTGGAGAGTCGACTAACCTAGGTAGTAGGTACCTAGGTTGGCCTCAGCTGCGTCTCATGAGAAGTCCTGCATGATATACTTACATGGTATGCTTGGAGGGATAACTCGCATGGTAGATGGTAGATGTAAACTCCGACAAACCAACGAATCTACATATCTACAGATACCGGTATGTATGCAATGCAGGTACATGTACTGTAAGCTGGTCATTCTTTGCCTCGTCTCCGATAGAGTGAGTGTAGTGTGTTGGTGTAGCGTTTGTGCCACCACGAAGCCAGCCTTGCCGGAGCCTCGTCCATCCATCGGCTTCCCGTGGGAAACATATCCAACGTCATCGCAACTAGTCAGACTATGACAAGTACAACGTAAAGGGTTTGTAAGCCAATGGGCAAATACTCATGTATGTGCGTTACCGTGCCGTGATAGGTAGATGGCGTAGTATACTTTACAGCAAGTAAACAACCCATGCCCCTGCGTCTTGGACCGACTTTGAGGATCTGCGACGCAGGTAAAACGTTGGTACACGTGTACTGGCCTACCTACACTACCTGCCTAGGTACTTACATGACGATCTGCTCATTATTGTAGATAGTGAGTGTAGTTCGCCTACAATTCTATATACCTATCTATATGTATAGTTCGTAGGACCATCACTCGTTCCACATGACCCCGTTTGCACCGACACAACCAACACTCACATACGGTACCCTCTACGTGTAGTGTATCGACTAGTATATAATACTCTAGATAAGTACTACTAGAGGCACAGTTCGGTGGTCATACCATTCATAGTACTGACATCCGTATGATTGTACATTGCCCATACGTGTAGGGATGAAAGTTGTAGGGGTGCCGAGCATTGCGCATCGTCATTGGCTGCTACTTCGTAAGTCGACCAAGCGCCCGCCAATTGCATTTGTCAGTTCCGAATACCTTACTTCGTACCTTTCTTTCGGTCAGAGAAGTCGGGCGTTGGTGAGCAAGCT